CCAGCCTGCAAGGTTGGCTGGGGAATTCTGGGAGTTGAAGTCCACCCATCTTAAAGTTCCTGAGGTTGAGAAACACTGGCTTAGCATAATGCATGAGCCCAGTCATTGGTGACTGTTCTCAAGGCTTCAAACAGAGGTCCTACCATTAGCATAACTCCAACTTTCATCCTGCAATCCAGTAAGAAGCTGGCTACATTTAACTGGGCGATGTGCCTCCATGTGCTTATATCTACGTCGTTATAAAAAGTCTAGAGAGCAGCTGTCGCTTAAAAAAAGGAAAAGGATTCCCTGACCTCAAAGACACAGGGGGGGCCCTTTATCAAAATTTGTCCATTTTCTAGCCCCTTAGAAGGGATGAAACGCACTATTTAAACCCATTTACTTCCAGCCTCCGCAGGGTTGGCGTGTGGAAGGTCGACACGGGCACGACAGCAGAGGGAGTATCGTGATGTAAGCTCCGCCTTTTCTGACTTGGTGATGTCGATGCAAGACAAAGGGGCGGGGCTCACACTGCAGAACTCTGCCCACCATCTTGCCAACATTGACTTCCCTTCCCTGGCGGATGCCACTAGAACAGGTCACGTCCTTTAGTTTGTCTGAAAACAGTGGCAGTTCCATGCCAAACCAGGTTCAACCCCTTTCTTCGGTAGGAGACCCATGCAAAGGATCTTGCTGCGTTCAGTTTTGTTATACCCAGCCAAGCATTTGGGGCATCCGGGGGTCAAAAAGGTCAAGATGGCAGCCACAACCACCCAGTAGAAGCCCTGCCCCTTGTTTTCATGCACAATTTACATTAAAAAAAAGGAGCGGGCTTCAGTCACCCTCTTGACTTCTTGACTCTCCTGTGAGCCATGCTTGAAACTCGAGCACAATGTGGGTGGTTCAATTGTGTATAGTACAGGTAGTCCTCGTTTAGCAACTGCCCCATTTAGCGACTGTTCACAGTTACAATGGTGATGAAAAGTAATTTTGTGACTAATCCTCACATTTATGACCTTCGCAGGTCTGCAAAGCAAAGGAAAACAGAAGTCAGATCATAAGCACAGTCGGGGTTTCACTTAGCCACCGCTTTGCTTAATGACCAAATTGCCAGTCCCAATTGTGGTTGCTAAATGAGGACTGCCTGCATGTCCTTCCTTCTCTAGCCCCAAATTTCCAAAACATCTCAGCAAGGGTGGGACAAGGCTAAGGGCATATGACTTGAAAACTATAGGAGACATCAAGTTCACAGAAACGGAAAGAGGACAATATATAGTAATGCAAGCTTTCACACCATTCTTATTTTTCGATCTGGTTTTGTTTTCCAGCAATACAAGGAACACAAAGTTAGAAGAGGGGCTACACAGAACCAGGGAGGGAGGGAGGGAGGGAGGGAGGGAATTCAAGTTGAGCTGAGAGTTGTTTAAAAACTGCCTTAAAACAGAATCAACGAGAGCGGGAGTATCCTCAGAGGGGTCAAAAATGTCAAGATGACATCCACAACCATGAGATCACAACCCCACTTTTTTTACATGTAACGAAGTTGGAGCTTTGATCTCATGTTTGTGGGTGCCACCTTGACTTTTTTGACCCCCCTCTCCCACAGACACCCCTGATTAAGGGGAAAATCCATCAGGAACTGCTTCTGATTGTGGAAGGGATCTGCAGGAACATGTTTTCATAGAGAGAAATTTATATTATTCTGACTATCACCCAAATAGCATGATTCAGGTTTCTTTTCTATTAGCAGCAATAATTATATAATTATAATAAAAATCATCCTCCACAATACAGCAAAATGTTGAGGGCCATCCTCTACCTGGATGAAGGACGCAAGTATCCATTCATTCAAAAGTCACGGTTCAAAAACGCCACCCAGAAACCACTTTGGAACAATTGTGTTGCTTTTCATTCATGTATCTGAACTGCATTTTATAAGAAATCATCATTATCCAACTTCAAAGTTTGGTGTAGAAAAGATTAGGCCAGTTGTCAGTTTTCTCTCTCCCCACCCCCTTTGGCTGGGGGGTGGGACTGGATTCCTTAGAGTGGAAAAAGGATGGGTGAGAAAGACCCAAATTCTAAATCGCCAGGTAAAAAAATCACAACGTGCCTTCATGTTCCACTGCAGTTGTACTTGGAGAAGCCTCAGACCATTCCAGGGTCACCAGCATAAATTCCTTTTTAACCATCTCGCTGTCTCGTCTTATTTGGCTTTTTTCCCTCCCTAATTGCCAATTCTGGATCTAGAAAGGAAAAAGAGAGAAATATGGGAATCCTAACAAAAGCAGAGCTTGATGGCTTTATAATAGGATGTTCAGACATTTAGAGCTGGTCCTTCTTAGCTGAGCAAACTCAGGGAGGCAGCGAAGGACAGGAAGGCCTGGCGTGATATGGTTCATGGGGTCACGAAGAGTCAGACATGACTTAACAACTGAACAACAACTTCTTAGCTTTGAGCAAAGAGGAACTGAAGGAAGGTAAAGTCTCCTTCAAGCACCTCCAAGCTGTTTTCTTGGCAATAGTACAAAATGGGCTGACATTGATTTCTTCTTAAGGGTTTTTTCCCCCTTAACTTTCATTCTTGGATTTCCTTGTGGTCTCCCATCCAAGAATTAGCCAGCTCCCACTCTGCTTATCTTTTGAAGATCAGTCCAGGTCAGGTAGCTGCTGTCACCTAGTTGGAAACTGAGCAAAGGTGCGTTTGAAAAGCTCTTTGGGGCAGAGTTAGGGGTTCTGCTCCCCCTTGTTGTCATCATCTCTGCTTTTTGCTCTTGTGTCTTCCAACACGGGCATAGCAACAGAAAAAAAACAAGCAGCACGATTCCACGCATCTTTGCAGCGGGCAGCAACATGGACTGAGTCCAGATGGCCAGTGTAACATCAGAAAAACAGGAGGCCAATTCAGGAAGAGAGGTTACTTAAGAGCATCGTTTCCAAGGCCTTCTCCACTCCCACTAACTACCTAGCACTGCTCAAGGGAAAGCCCCACCTATTTCTGTTTATTATACCTGTTCTGTTTTAATATGAGAATGTGTTATTAAACAAGGACCTCTTTGAATGAGTTAATTGGCTGTTCAGTCTCTGTAAACAACAATAACCTGGAATATTCCTGCTCAGAGTACCTGGCAAATGAGCTGATAATTGCTGGAGCAAAAATTAGCATACCTTATTGTACTTCTTTTGATGATTCTTCTGCCACAGGTAGCTTTCTTCTTATTTGGCAGTCCTCATCTGAAACACAGAGGCAGGAGAAGGCTGAAGCCTGCAGATCTGCCATGGCCCGACTCAGCAACTGCGCTAGAGTTAGTGTCAACTCAGAGGCAGGAGAAGGCAGGGCGAGAGCCATGCTGTTCTTGTGGCCAGCTATCCAGATGATGTCTAGCAAGTTGCTAAGCCACACCAGATGCCACATCAAGGTTTCTGATCCTCCTCCAATAAAAGCATTAGCTCTCACACTGTCACTACCAATGCCCTTGATTAGAGTTGGCAGCCTTACAAGTTCCACTGCTCTTCCCATCACATCATCTCTGAGGTGTCCATTTCTACAATACAAGTTCCTCAGGGCAGGAACCTGTACTTTGTAGGGCCACAGTTGATGGATGATATAATTTCAGGGTCCCAAAACTCAGGGTGCATTAGGGAGATGGGCCAGTTGTACCTCCTAGCGTGCCAACTGTTTAATCTTAAAAGATCTTGGGTGCTCAGATCACCTTCTCCATACTTCAGGCCTTAGGCTTCATGGTTGCTCTGATAAAAGGACGGTTCCCATCTTCTCAAGACACTCATGTTCTCCTGTTTGTGAATATCTGGCTTCCACATTTCTCTTCTGGCAAGAGCATTTGGGGACTGAGGTAAGAGTGGATGGATAGAGGTACCTAGATATGTGGTGAGCTCTAGGTTCTGATGATGTATGGTGTTATGGTTTTATGATTACAGTAGTCCACCCATGTTTAATTAAAGCTCTAGCTGGTCCAAAATGCAGCTGTTTGAGGTGTGATGGGAGTTCCAAAATTCTTCCATATAATGCCCCTATTATATGGAGAACGCGCTGGTTCCTGGTTGGCTGCCAGGGGCAACTCAAGATGCTGGTTGTCACCTTTAAAGCCTTGTATGGTTCACAGTCTGGATGGGATCGTCTACTCTTTGTGGATTCTGCTCGTCAGTAAGATCAAGCGGGGTTGGCTCACTCCAGATCCCTTTGCTTAGGGATAGTCCCCTACAGGGCCCAAAGTCGAGACATCATTGTTGCAGCCCCATGTCTTTGGAAGGGCTTCCTGCCCAAGATCAGGCTAGCTCCACCCTATATTTTAGGAGAAACCTTAAAACTTGGCTTTTTAAGAAAGGAAGAGGAGATCTAGGATAAGTTAGAACCCCACCCTGATCTGTGGCTGGATGTTTTGTTCCCAGTGGCCTTGGTTTCTCTTAGTAACTTCTGTTATTACTATTTTATACTGTAATTCATTATTTTATTAAACCATTTTTATATTTTTACTCTTTTATGGTTAGAAAGGAATGTACACTACTCAGAGTTGCCTGCTGGATCAAAGTGGCAGAGAAGCCCCAGTGAGTTATATAAATCACTGCTGAGAGAAGGATAGCCTTAGAAATCATTTAAATAAATAAACCAAGTAAGTAAATGTTATTTATTAGATATTATGATTTCTTTGATTAGAGTTTATATTGCTGCCGTGAGCTACTTAGAGTCTTGAGGACATAAATGGTTTCTGTCATTTTGCTATCTTTTATTCCCTTTTTTTCTTCCTTATTATATTTTTAAAAATGTTTTTACTTGTGAGCCACTCAGAATCATTGGGAATCAACTGGCATACACATTTCATGCTAGCTAGGGAATTCTGGGAGTTGAAGTCCACGCATCTTAAAGCTGCCAAGATTGAGAAACACTGTTCTAGAAAGCCAGGAGAGTAAGCATTCCCCTTTACTCAGGGGCCAAGTTCTTCCAGAAGAGGGGAGTCTCTGCAGAGTGCGCCATATCTGGACTCCCCAGTCACAGCTGAGTTACTTAGCCTATCTCACAAATCAGAAGGGTCCATTCTAAGATGGCACAAGCCACCAATGGTTTTTGTAAGAAGGTTTTCCTATTAGTAATAGAAATGTCTCTGTATTTTTTTTTTTTTTAACATGCTGCATGAGAATCAGGCGTATATTTACAACGGAGCAAGATGACATTATAGGAGGAGAGACACATCAGTATCATGGCTCAGGAGAAGTCTGGTCAGACCTTTTCCAATTAACAAATTTTATTAAAAGGCAGAAGCTTTCAGAAGGCAGAGGGAAAAAGGAGGGGAAGACAGAAGACAGGATGGTTATGCAGATACAGGTTATATGTAAGACAGACCTGTGGACCAAGAAAAGGAAATTAACTACAGGTAATCCTTGCTTAGCAACCACAATAGGGACTGGAACATTCATTGTTAAGCAGGGTGGTTCAGCAAGGTATCATGTGACCACACCCAATTTTACGACTTTTTTGCAGCGGTTGTTAAGCGAATCACCGCAGTTGTTACATGAATCATCCGGTTCCCCATTGATTTTGTTCACCAGAAGCTAACTAGGAAGGTCACAAGTGATGATCACATGACCCCGGAATGCTGCAACTGTCATAAGTGCGAGCTGGTTGCCAAGTGCCTGGATTGCAATCACATGCCTGCTTGGGCACTGCAACAATCGTAAGTGTGAGGACCGGTTGTAAGTAATTTTTTCAGTGCCATCATAACTTCAGACATTTGCTAAACGAATGGTTGTTAAGCAAGGACTACCTGTACACAGTGGACAAAAGTTTGTAGCCTAAGAGACAATCTTGTGAGCTGGCAGAGTTGCCATGATGGGTGGTAAAGGCCAATATTTGGAAGAGGCCCTGATCTTACCACATGAATGTCCTTCAACGTCATCAAGAAGGTTAGCTGTTGAGGCTGCAGTCCCCATCCTGGATGTGGAGTTAAGGAGGAACAAAAACCATAATCCAAACCAGGTCTTACCTCAGTGGTTTCAGTGGACATTGCTAAGCCTCAGAACACGGGAAACCCAATCAAGGGTTTTTTGAAGCCCTAAAGCAGTTTTCCTCAATCCAAAGTGCTTGACATACATCAGATGACAACCTTAAAACTCCCAACCAATGGCAGCAGGGCTGCTTGGAAGCAGTCCTAGTTTGGAAAAAGATCATCTGAGCCTGTCCTGGGTTTGAGACTGGCCTCAACACCTCTTCTTGGAGTTCTGCGGTCAAGGAGCATCAGATTGGTAGGCAAGAAAGAGAGGTCCTACTTTTATCCCTGGTCCCACTTGGAGCAGGAGAGCCAAGAAGGAACTTTGCAAATCAGCCAAACTGCTGAATGTCACCAAAACACAGTAGCTAGCTGGCTGGTTGGAGAAAGGCAAGGAGTCCTGAGTTCAAGCTCCTGTTCATAATTTGTGGACTTCATTTCCCAGAATTCTCAGCAATGGCCATGATGACAAGGGAATACTTGGGCAAGCCCACACTAGAATGAACCTCTCCTTACACTTGGATTATGGGAACCAGCAGTGCCCGGAGCAATGTTCTCATTCATGAAAAGAGAACTGCAGGGGTGACCCTCAAGATCACCAGGTTGGGAGATCAACAGAAGGTCATTTCATACAACTAGGAAAGGATACACTTGATGCTTCAAAAGCTGTTTTCTTTTTGACTTCCTCATTTTGGTCTTTTCTGAGAAAGCTCTGGCAAGTTCAAACAACTTCTTGCGTGTAGCTAAAAAGAAAAATGGGGACAAGTTTATGGAAAAAGAAAGAAGTATCTCCAAGTATTCTTATACTCAAGTTTGGCCTTCATGTTGCCAAATCGAGATGCTTAAAGACTAGAAACTTGATTAAGACAAAAGCTACACCTCCTTCAACATCCTGAATTTTGCAGCTGCAATACATTTATTCCTAATTGCAGAAAAAATAGGGGAAAATCTTTGAAAAAGGCAGAGATCCCCCAACCCAGAGAGCCAAGTTATCTGCCTGACTTCAGTCCTTCCAATGCATCCTTCTGCAGATTAAATGACGAGATTGTGTCCTCTTTGCCAAAAGGAGAAGGGAATGGCAGTTAAATCTTACTCTAAAACTTACTTGGGGTAAGGGTGAGGCAGCAGCACTCGAGTGTGTCAAAATCGGGAAGGCAGCAGATGTAGTGCAAACCCTGACCCTTTTAAATGGGTGCGTGACATTCCATCTGCCCTCTTCCCAGTTTTGACACACGTGCACGCAAACCCACCCATGGATGCCCTGAACCGATGGTAACAGGCTATCTGGGGAATGCAAGGAAGATTGTTGTATCTTCTAATGTCTTATTGCTGCTCCCTGCTTTGGAGCATCTGATGTCTGAGAGAAGCTGCATCGCTCTGCCTATCCAAACGGCAAGGATCCATTCATTGCACTGGATTCTTAAAGGCACGCAGCAATGTGAGGTACTACAGCTGTAATGGCACCTGCACTCCAGCCTTCCCCAACTCCAGATATGGTGTACAGCTAGTCCTCGCTTACTGACGGCCTCATTTACCGACCATCTGAAGTTACGATGGTGTAAAAAAAATAGCTCTGCAACCAGTCGTCCCATTTAAGACTGTCACAGCGTCCCGTGGTCACGGGATCACCATTCACATGCTTCACAACTGCCTTGTGACAAGCAGAGTTAATGCAGAAGATGGAAGTAAAATCGTAAGTCGCAGTCACATGATGTTTCGCTTAACACGGAGTTGCCAGTCCCAACTGTGGTCACTAAGCGAGGACTACCTGTAGTGTTTTGTACAGTGAGAGAAAGTGACTGGCCTAAAGTTTTCCAGGGAACTTCCATGGCTGAGGGAGGATGTGAACATGGGTCTCCCCACTACTGGTCCAACATTTTCCCCACCACACCATAACCTCTTGGGCTGAGAGAAACAGCTGGCCCTAAGCCCCCCAGGGAACTTCCATAGCTTGTGGGGGGAGCAGGGGAGAAGCTAATGTTTGCCTTGCTCTGAGTTCAACACCTTCACCACCGTGCCACCCTGGCTGTTCCACACTGTCGGGACTTCCTTTCTTCAAAATTCCAGCTGGCTTGATGCCAGGTTGGGGGTGCAGGGAGGCTGGTATCCAATCCCACAGAGCGACAATGGCAGGAAATATGCATCACAGCCTTGGGTTCAACTCAGCAATATGTCATAATATAACTCACATTTCCCCATGTGTTTTAACTTGTCCCTGAATAAGGCATCTTCGGAAATAGCCCCGCTGGGCACACCGGTTAAGGAGCGAGTGACCTCATCTGCAAGACAAAGCACATTTAGGATCGACAGGAAGCAGCAGAAGCCGAGAGAAGATTTTGAGCAATCTTTCCAATCCACTGGACAGCTTGGATTTCAAGTCCCATCCTTCCCAACCTTTGGCCATTCTGGCTGGGAATTAAGGGAACTGACATCCAGAGGGCACCAGATTAATTTCAGATGATGAAGAAAGTAACAAGCGCTCCACCACAGCTACTAGTGTGCTGTGGAAGTGGTACAGTGTGTGAATGTGCAAGTGTATGTGTGAGACAAATCTCAATGGTAGATCACTTGTTTGGCATCAGAAAGACTTGAGATATCATGCATCTTGAGCTCCTGAGGAAAAGCCTGGGTGATTTATTTTATTTTTGTTTATTTTATTTTTTTGACAACCACGGTTAATTAGCATCCACAGTAAGGGAGCTGAGCATCCTTCCTCCAACTGCACATTATCTAGATGTGTGGGTCTCAGCTCCCAGAATTCTCACACTAGCTGAGGAATGCTGGGAACTGAAGTCCTCGCATTTGGAGAGCATCCAAGTTGGAGAAGGCTGGAGCAGATGAATTCAGTGTGTAACTCTCTGGCTGCTGGATTTACATAATACGTTGAAACCAAAATGCCGATGACCATAACAGGACTGCCATGTTCACACAACATGCTATGCCTCTCCCGATCATACTATTGCCCATACTCAAAATCTGAAATAGGGACGTGAGTATTTCACCTAGCATAAATTGTGTCTACTCAGAAGTGAGCAGAAAAGCTGCTCTTCCACATCTCTGTGAGGTGCAGATTCCTGGAGTTTTAAAGATTTTTTAAAAATGCAGATTAAGAGTTTTTAAGATTTTAGCTTCTTACAGCAAGCATGCAAATAACACAGCAGCGGTCTGACCATCTCTCTCCCCTTTTCTCTTCCTGCCAATATAAAATACAGGAATATTCAAACCTTCTATAGCAGGGTTCCTCAACCGTGGCGACTTGAAGATGTGTGGACTTCAACTCCCAGAATCCCCAGGTGGGGAAATTTTGGGAGTTGA